CACTACACTTGTTTCAAATGTGAAATGCTGATACCCATGACTGATATTATTATTCGGACAAAATTCGGACAGATTTTAATTTTGAATAACGATAACGCAAAATTTTAATACTGCAATATCGCAACTTGATCACGGAAGTAAAAATATTCAAGAATTTATAAAAAGTTTATCAATTAGAAAATGTTTTATTCCTTGACGGCAATAAAAGCGATTGGTTAAATTATCTGCATTTCAATGTTAATACTTAGGGCAAAATATCTGGGTCTGTTATTTGAGTCAATTAAATATTTTAACATTTATTCATTTTGAGATGATAGAGTGCTGGATATACGACATTAGTCTAATAGTGCAGGTCATGTAATGAACACTAATTAGAGCACTGTAGATGGCTCAAGCTGCAATAACCCTTGAACCAACAAACTCACAAATTTGTCGGACTCGTTATAACGTGCTCTTTTTGATTTATTTTTCGCTTTTGTTAACAATATATCAAAAACGAAAATTTTGGTATCACGTTGAGTCCCCCTGCTACGTCCAGACAATAAAAATAAAGTGCGTTGTCATTTTAAAGAGCACGTTATAATGAACCCGACAAATATACAATTTTACCTATCGTCGATCTACTTCTTTGATCGTCATCACATGACCTGCACTATGTCGGTATGCCCCAATAGAGTACGGACATCTGTTTGACACAACTCAGAAACAATGTCCGTGACAGTGCGTATATATTATAAATGTAGTGATACATTATTTGCTTTTTTTGGAAGGGATACCAAATATGTTAAATAGATTAACTTCCGCTGATATTTTCAAAGCCACAACACTCTTCCCTGACTTTGTTTGTGATCATGTCTCAATCAAGAGAATCTGCAACACTTCATGATGCAGAACGAGAACAATTCTTAATTTCAAAATCTTCCTCAAGAGTTGCTTTAACCGTCAATGATTCTGAAGTAGTTGATGAGAATGATGACTTATTTTACGAAAGTGAGCGAAGACAGGGCTTAGATTCTGTAATTACGGATATCGGATTCGGAAAATTTCAAAAGCAACTATTGGTTTGTTTATTTATATTTTAATTTTGTGCCTTGATATTTATAAATATATTTACATAAGCAATTTTAAAGGTACTTTGTGGTTTCGGTTGGCTTGCTGATAACGTAAGAAGTTTTGTTTTCTTCTTGATCAGTTTCTAAACCAGGAATTTGATGATCTATATATATATATATATTATTGATTACTTTAGATGTGGTTACAGGTACTTTGGACTATTATGATCTACACAGTGAATCTTTATTAGTGAGTTATTTATTCACTTATTAATCCAAATTAAATAGAGTGTAACATTGATACTACCGAGAGTTCAAGGTTAGTAGCATTAAACATTTTTATATAAAGTAAAAATGTGATGGAAAGACTCGTTACCTTTTACTATAGAGTTCTCATTAGGAATGTTAAAAAACCCGTCAGATCTAAAGGGTTTTAATGAAATTGGACCAATCCTTAATTAGTCCTATCAATATTGAAAAAATCTTGAAAACAAATCACATACACATTCATAATTAGTTATGAGTCAGGCTCAATGTTCCATAGAGTTTTAGAGTTTAGCGAACTTTTAACAACTCTAATTCTCATACGTTGCTTTATTCTTTGCATATTCTCATTGTCGATCATGATAGTTCATTATCAGGTGCCAAATTCGATAATTGGTTTTCTATCTAGTGCTTTGACATTTGGTATGATGTTCGGTGCATTATTTTGGGGTGTCTTTTCTGATTCTTATGGGCGTAAACAAGCTTTCAATTGGACTTTGGCGGTGACCGCTTTTTTTGGTATATTTTCAAGTTTTGCGCAGAGTTTTACCCAATTATGCTTTTTACTCTTTTTTTTGGGTTTTGGTGTTGGTGGAAATTTACCGGTAGATGGTAGGCTTCTATTTATACTTGTATGCATAAATACATACATACATACATGCATGCATTTAATCCTCTATTAATTGGATTAATTGAATTTATAGGTACAATTTTTTTGGAATTCGTCCCCAAAGACCAGCAGCACCTTCTCACATTTATGTCTATATTCTGGCCATTTGGAGGTGTTATTACCGCTATAGTTGCATATATAGTATTACCTCAAAATAGTTGTCCTGATGGTATTTCCTGTGATATTTCAAAAAATAATGGATGGAGATATTTGTTAGCTATTTTAGGAGTTTTGGTAAGATCATCACTTCAAAAAAAAAAAAAAGTTTTTTTTTTTAAATATCTTTTAAATTTTTTTTTTCTAGACATTTCTTATGCTTTTAGGTCGCGTGCTTCTCTTTGGTCTTAAAGAATCACCAAGATTTCTTATGGCAAGTAACAGACATCATGATGCTGTAATAGTTTTACGTGATATAGCCAAAATCAACGGTCGTGAAATTTCGGTTGATGCTAGTGATCTAACAATATCTGATGAAGCTCCTCGCAGAGTATCCATATCAATGACATACCCACCTGCCACTATGCTCTCCGATAAACATTATCAATATAAAAATTTTTTTGCTGATCCTATACTTTTCATAAAACATCGTATTGCAACAAAACGTCATGATATGGCTCCTCTTTTTACACCTAAATGGATTAAAACGACTATTCTCGTATGGATGATATGGTCTATAGTATCATTGGCATTTGTAATGTTCAACTTGTTTCTTCCAAAATATCTCGAAACATTGGCAATGGATACTGAGATTGATCATTCGGACATATTATCTCAAGTTTTAAAGGATATACTTGTATATTCCGCTTGGGGAATACCGGGTTCTTTAATTGGAACTTGGTTAATTGATACACCACTTGGTAGAAGATATACAATGGCGGCTGGTGCTTTCGGCACATCTCTTGCTGTTTTCATGTTTTCCGTTCTTACAACAAGAATTGGGACAATTATATGTTGTTCAGCTATTAGTTTATTCACTACTATTAAATATGCGGTTATCTACGGATATACTGCTGAAGTATTTGAAACAAAAGTCAGGGGTACTGCAAATGGGATTGCTTCTGCATTTGCAAGAATGTGAGTTTTTTTCTTAATTAATTGTTATACCGTAGTCAGTTTTTTTCTTTTACTCATCACTGATACAATCATTTTAATAATACATATATTATAGAACTGGTATAATTGGCCCAGTGATCACGGGAAATCTTTTAACAATACACTTGGTAGTACCAATATATGTATCTGCCACTCTTTTTTCAATAGCAGGAGTTTGTATGGTTTTGCTGCCAATTGAAACTAAAGGACGGCAAGCGTTATAAGATTAGACAAAATTTAGTTTATCATATGATATTATAAATATTGACTAATATAAATATAATCACAAAACATTAGCATTTTTGAAGTTTTAAATATTTTTTTCTAGACTTTTAGATTGTTAACAAAAATAAAAAATCACATTTTAACTAAATTAAACATGATAAATCCAAAATGTTGATAAAAATAAATAGACATATTAAACATTATATTCCTGCGTTCGGTCCTATTTAATTGAGTCATCTATTTAATCATATTAATTATAAAATATATTTATAAGGATTCATGATACCATTTGGGTCAATACTTTGTTTTATCTGCTTCATCATATTGATCATTTTTTGTGATTTAGAATATCCTATACAATCAGCTTTCATTAGACCTAGACCGTGTTCTATTTGATGTGCGCAAATAAATAAAGTTAGAAAGACTAGAAAAAAAAAGGTGTGGATGAAAAGAAACTACCTGCTGATATAGATCCTTTATGTTTCTCTAGAATAAAAATATTTTATAAATATTTAATAAAAATATTTCATAAATATTTAATAAAAATATTTCATAAATATTTAATAAATATATTTCATAACAATTAATATTGTTTTGTAAGAAATTTTAAGTGCTTTCGTTTACCTGTCCATTCATAAACATAAGGCTCTGTCAGTTTGGCGACCTCGGGGGAATATGATTTTGCAACGATATTCAAGTGTATATTACCTGTTAAATAACAAATTAGTAAAGATAAGTATATTTTTCAACTCAAATGTGAAATGAAATATTGTTACTTTTAAAGGAGAACTCACCATCACCAATGTGACCGTACCCAACAACATCTGTTACAAGTTTATCCTTGCCAAATATACCAGCATCCTTTAACCTATTGCCCATATCTTCAATTATATTGTAAAAAACTGGTACTGGTATAGATAGATCATATTTATACACTGAGCCGGCCTTACTACCGGCCTCGGGTATCCCTTCTCTAATTGACCATAGATTTCGAATTTGTGTATTATCTTGTGCGACAACACCATTCTCAACAACTCCTTTTTCCATTAAAATTTCCATAAAATTATGGAGTTTCTATATATATACATATATATATATATATAAAAGAAAAAAAAAACTAAATAAAAAATAAAAATGAAAAAAAAACAAGATTGATTGTTTACTATAGTTAAAAGTTAGACCCACTTCGTCGTTGTGATCTTTATTGGAGCCACTAGTCTCAACCAAAATGTAAAAGGGATATTTGTCTTCTAATGGAAAACTTGCTCCCTGAACAAGATGATCTTTTACCAATTTAAGTGCATTAACATCCCAGAATTCAAAAGCTATATATGTCATCCAAAATCAGTAATGTTTATATTATACATTCTAACTATATTTTAAGGTTTTTATCCAATACCTGATAAAATTTCTGATAATTCTCCTTTGGATATGATAAATGCTTCTTGGACCTTTTGAAAAGAATTTAAACAAAATACAGCGACATTGACCGACTATCGGATAATAAATGTCGTGTGAGTCGATCAAAAAAAAAAAAAAACTTTGATATAAGAAAGCTCGTTCTTATACCTTAGGACGTTTTGGTGTTAAAATTGAAACTCCGGTAATTATACCCAGAGTACCTTCTGAACCAATGAATAAATGTTTAATGTCGTAACCTACATTTGATGACATTGTTATTTAAAATACATGAAATATGTATGCCATACGTAATAGCATCAAATATCCATATTATCCCACCAGTGTTATCTTTACGGAGTGTCGAAAGATTATCTAAGATGGTTCCATCGGGAAGTACCTGTTTAAAATATTGCTTAAAATCGTTCGCTCATTTTATACAAGTAACAGTTATGTGTAGACTCATGGCATTACCACTTCTAATCCTAATACGGTGCCATGAAGAGAACCGTACCGCAATAATCTTATCCCGCCAGCATTCGTTGCAACATTACCACCAATATGGCAACTAATAAAATTTAAGATATAGCAAACATTTGGACAATATAAAAGCAAAAAAAAAAAAAACATTTACCTGCCTTTGGCTCCTAAATCCAATGGTACCATATAGCCTTGTTCGGCAAGATAATTATCAAGAACTTCAAGAATGCAACCGGAGTCACACACTAGAGTACCTATTATGCAAAAAGAATAAACCATATTTCATATATAGAACGAAAATTTATAATTTCATACCAGATAAAGGATCAAATTTTCTTATTTTATTTAAATTATTAGTACTGATAACAATTTCATCAAATACTGGTACACTGCCACCTAAAATATTATAGTTAATATCTATAAGACAAAAAATTTTTATTCAAAGTTTAAACATTCTTACCAACAAGGCCAGTATTTCCGCCTTGAGGTACGATAGCCAACTTTTTCTCATTACAATACTTGACTAACTTGGAAATTTGTGCAGTAGTTTTAGGTTTTGCTACTAATTTTGATTTTCCTCTATATTTTTTCATCCAATCAGTATTGTAGGGAATTAAATCATCTTGATTATTGCCATTACCTACAATTAACTCACTGGGTGATAAAATTGATTGAAAAAATTTAATGTCATCTGGAGAAAGCTACGTAATTTTAGCGAGAATTAGAGTCAATTAAGATAAAACATTCAAAAGGATCTTTTTTTCTTTTATTTTTCAACTTACTTCTTTAAAATTCGGGTTTCTTTTCAAGTGAGTATAAATATCAGCGGTATAACTAACTACATTTGATGGCACTTTTTTATGTATTTCTGCTGTTTTTGCTGTTTCATTTTCAAGACTTGCATAGCTTCGTTGTTGTATGTTTGAGGCTATAAGTTTGAAATTGCGTAAAAAAGTTCTTTTATATGGAACTTTGCCGGCTAACTGAAGTAAACTTTGTGAGGTCCTCATTATGCAAAAGAGAAATGAATATCGAGATAGATCAGTGATGTGCTCACATTGGCCAATTTTTATGGATCTACCAAACTGGACAACCTCTTAAAAAGGGAATAGCCAATCAGGGAATGATAAAATCCGAACACGTGCGAAGGAAGAAAAAAACAAAAATACTCAAAAACTAGTGTTTAAATAGACCTTAAAAATGTCGGAAATGATATTTTACAAATAATATTTTTTCTATAGCCTCTACGCACTTAGTTTATTTGCAAATTCGGATTCCTTTTTGCGAAAATAAGTACACTGGCGATCATAAATAATGCAACAAAAAAATTTTTGGTTAAATTGCATTATTTCGCGCAATTCTGGGTGTATCCTTTACTTTTTTTTTCATTTTATATAAGCGTACATGTATCACAAATCATGTGTTGCGTTATTTTTGACAACGATCAGCATTGTACAATGAAGGAACACATGACTGGTAAATCTATTATCAATTTTGCATTCTTGTGTTACAATAGAACTTCAAATGAACCACATGCCGACGAAATTATTTTGGGTCTAAAACCTGAAATTAGAATTTGAAGATAAAATTGTTTTTACTCTTTTTTTTTTTTTTTTTTTTTTGGTTTTAAGGTGTGGCCTTGCTCATATCTTTTTTATTAATAATTTTTTTTATAGTAA